AATAAATGTATTTATATAGTTTAACTGATGAATCAGAGATTCTTTAGTGTGTAGATAATGGAATAAAAATCCTACCTAAATCCCTCTGAACAAAAAAGAGCCAGTGTGCACCGAGGTAGATCAGGTATTACAGAGGACACTATCTCAGAGGAAGCCACCAGGAGTTCATACAGGTAAGAGACCACATACAACCCAGCACGCACTATGACAGCATTGGAAGTCACTCTGGTTTTGAAGCTATTTGTTAAAAAGAAGAATTGAGCTTATTTTCTACATATTCTGGACACTGCTGCATGAAATGCTAAAGATGCATGTGAAAATGAAGTGGTTAATTAACCTTGTTTCTATTACTCAGCTATTTCAAAACTATAAACGAAGTCAACCATTACAAAAAAAAGCCATTTATTAGATATATGTACATATATACATATACATGCAAAATGATTTTATACACATTTACACAGGTTTAATTATTAATACAGTGCAAAAATGTCTAAAAAGGTACCAGCCCACCTTCTACAAACTTATCAGGTCTTTGGGAGAGAGAAAAAAATAACAATACCCCACAGAAAATGATCAGTTTCGTAAAGTGACTAAGCACTGCAAATGTTTAAATTAATGAAGTTTATTCTTTGTCCATTTTCTTGTGCTGAGCTGCTGGGTGAGGAAAAAGAGTTTCCAAAAGACTTATCTTAAAAATTGACAGAATTAAGGAGATACAATTCAAACTACTTTAAACAGTTTAAAGTTGAACAAAAAAGGATGGATTCTTGTTTGGGGATTTGATTCAATAGCGGCATAATTCCGTGTTATGAGTCAGATTTCATGTACTCAAACTGCAAGTCATCCTTTTTTATTAAATCTTAAAGCACTGAGATCAATGTAAACTATTCCATTCCTCTTGCCATTTCACCAGAAGAAATTCTTTAAATGTATAAATTCCAGACAGATATTGGAGCCATTGTCAATACTAATATTAAAAATAAAACATAAAAAATAGGTCAAACTATGCGTGCTCTGTCTCATGCTAGAATCACAATCCAAACCTACAGGTACTAACACACACATATTAATCCACATAGATTCCTTAATATGGAAT